ACAGCACCTAAGTTAAATATATGAGTGTCACAGCAAAGGGTCTGAATACTTATGACCATGTGATATTTCAGTTTTTCTTTTTTAATGAATCTGCAAAAATGCCAAAAATTTTGTCAAAAATTCTGTGTTTTTCTGTCAATATGGGGTGCTGTGTGTACATTAATGAGAAAAAAAATGAACTTAAATGATTTTAGCTGCAATATAACAAAGAGTGAAAAATTTAAGGGGGTCTGAATACTTTCCGTACCCACTGTATCTATTAGAAAGTCACTTTCGGCTTTTCCCGTTTAGGGGTCACCACAGCGAATTGTCACACTGACGACTCGCATGTTGACATTTGGCACAAGTTTTACGCTGGATGCCCTTCTTGACACAATCCTGACTTGAACCCAGGCCGCAGCGGCGAGAGCGCTGCGCCTTAAGCACTAGCCTACCAGGGATGTCTAAGAACATTGTATCTATTAATGTCTGTGCAGATTCTCAGTCATCCAGGTCAGAGTAAGCTGAAAAAAACTTAGAAAAATCAACTGGACTAGACTTCTATGTCGAAAACGTTTCAGCTCTCATCCAAGAGGCTCAGCGTCGGTCCACAGGGGAGGATTCAAAGACAGGTAACGACTCTCACCGATACTGGGCTATAACGACTCAGTCGTTAGGGGACATTGTTGGCCTTCAAAGGACTGAAACACCACTGAGGGGGATAAATATCTCTGGCTCAACACCAGTCAGTCAGAACTGATGAAGCCTCTTGGATGAGAGGTGAAACGTCTTCGACCTAGAAATCTAGTCCAGTTGATTTTTTCCAGTTTTTTTCAGCGGTGTATCTATTATGTTAAAAAAATTACAAAATACAAACAGTTATTTGTAATGTCTGCTAGTGTCACTCTGCTGTTCTCTGTTACTAGCTATGAAAAGAAAATGAAGTTCCTTTATAGTGCATTTTCAAAAACAGAATTAGAAAGTGCTGCACAATTAAAACAGATCAGGAATAATGTAGAATGTTATACATACACTGCACAAGAATTCACATACACACATATGTAAACATATATATCCAAACACATATGCGCACGCACGCACACACACATTCTTGTTTTCATCACTTACGGGGTCCCTACATTTCCAGGAGACTTGCCCTAACCTTAACCAAAGCTGACACTTGCTATAATCTTGCACTACATCATTTTCATAAAATCTGATGAACTACATTGTGGAGAAGATAGCAACCCATGGATTTTGTGCTTCACAAGTATAAAAAAAAAGGCCACACACACTTGCATACAGAACCGCAAACATTTACATTCATAAAAGTGTGCCTACAATAAACACTCAAGCAAGCCACCAAGTGTGTGTAGTAAGAGATGAACAGAATAAGGTCAAATTGATCCCAGTAGTAAGATGATGTTATAAGAAACATTTCCTGAAAAAAGTTGTACCTTGTCATGTTACAGCCTTAGTATACTATCTTTTAAATAAAATGTAAAATTTTATACTCTCAATCAGGTGTCAATTTTTCCCTGTGGTATTGAAAATGGTATTGAGTATTGATATTTTACAAGGTATCGTGTCAAAGTTATAAATTCCAGTATTGTGACAACACTAGAATAGGCGTGCAGGGCAGGAAGGTATTTACAGACACATTGACAGAAAGTGTTTGAGGTGTGGTCCTGCTCCTGAATTTAAGATAAAATTATCTCCATTAAAAGTGTGCATTTAAGTATGCTCAGTGGATTTTTAATTCACATTTCAGGTGGACTTTCCTCCCAGACTCCTCATCAAAAACTGGAGATTATTGTGAAGATGGATGGCAAAAACCTGGAAGAACCCAGAGAAGAAAAAACAAGGGAGAATTTGAACAGGAATGCAGAAGTGGTAGTACTGATATCTGATGATGTGGTGGATATGATAGTGGAGCAGAAAACAGAGAAAATGGAGACAACAGTAAAAGAAGAGTGTCCACAGGCACAGGAGCTAAAGACGACAGAAGACGCAATGGACAACAAAATTCAAGCAAGTAGTTTTTGCGGCAGGGATACTTTGTTGTGTTTTATCAGAAGACATTTTTGGGACAACGTGGACACAAACTCAACTTTGAGTACAAGTACAGACTCCTGTATTATTCGCCCTTCATTTTCTGCCATCTTGGGTCCAACCCACCCAAAAGACATCATCCGGTCCTGCTCTCACACACCATACTGCCTCTACCTGTACATGGGGGTAGAGTTGGGCGGAGGACAGAGCACAAGTGTTGTCCTAATTGGTTACTTTGACCAGAGCTCAGGAGACAGTGTGGTGAGACTGCTGCATACTCTGCAGATGAGTGTTGACACTGTTCATCCACAAACCTCAGTGGACATGAAAAATGAACCTTTCACAGTCACACACGCAGCAGATTCTGACGCACATCTTCTGATTGACATGCTGAAGAAATTTGGCTTTCCTCTTTTTAATCTTGCGGTGTTTTACTGTAATGCTCCACACCCAGGAGTGAGCCAGGTGTTTGTATCACAGCTCCAGGGTTTTAGCCCCAAGTTAGTATCTCTGTGCGGCCTCCCTGGGATGGCAGGAAGAGCCTGCCAGACAGGACTCTTGGCCTCCTTTAGTTATGTAGTTGACCTAGTTAGAGACATCCACCATCATTACTCCACATGCTCCTCTGCTAATCACAGTCTGAAAGAGCTATTTGCTGATGCAGAGTCTTATAACCCATTCCGTCCTATCTCTGCAGAGTGTTTGTTTATTATCCGTACGATACAAAAGATGGTCAGCAGCTGGAGGGATTTAGTGGAGTATTTTAATTCACTTAGACAAGTAGAGGAAGCTGACCATATCAGAACCCAGCTGATGGATCATAAAGTTAAGCTACACTTCCTCTTCCTCTCCCATACTTTGGAACCCCTCCGAGCCCTTCAAGAACTGCAGCAGTATGGCACAGCAGATGTGGTTGTGGAGCTCCAGCTGACCTCCATGTTAATTCACTCCTATGCAGCCAGCATCCTCCGGCCCTCTGTTGCTGAACGCTTTCTCAGGAGGCGAGACCTGCATCTCCTTAACAATGATAAGGATTTGCTTCCCATGGCAGAAGTGAATGTGGGTTCTCGTGCTAGAGACTTTCTGTGGGCCTGCACTGCTGAGGATCTTGGGGAACAGGAGAGGAGCGACTTCCTGAAGGGTGCATTGGCTTTCTACAAAGAATCACTACAGAGTTTAGTGCAGAGTATTCCTGAGCAGTTTGGAGATGTGGCACTGAAGAATATCGGAATAGTGCTGAAGCATCCTGAAAATATCAATGTAAGATAAGATTTTTATTTTATACCGATTTGTTTATTTTATAGCATTTGTTAATTTATAGCTTAGCATTTGTTGAACATGCATTAGGCAGCTTTCAGTGTAAAAATACATAAACTAAACCAGATCACAGTGGGGGATTCAATAGAAATTAGCCTATTAGAAATTTTTTTTCCAAACATGCATTTCCTAAAATTTAACTGTCAGTATAAAATAACTGCATATTTGAGAAATAGCTTGTCATTTTGGGCAATGCGCTTAATAGTGTCTGTCATATCAGTTTGTTAAATAAAACACTACAGGCAACAGCTGGTTAGCACTGCAGCAACTTTATAAACTGTCCACTGGTGGCCGATCAACTGCTCCCAGATGAAAAATAGTTCGGCACACAACCCCTGTAAAATGTCAAAATGTCAAAATGTCATTTTAACACTTCAGTTTTTGTATGGATTAAATAAACGAGCTATATTTTAATTAGTGAGTTTGAGAGGTGCTGGTTGGCAGATTTTGTTATTTTTGGACAGAACCAGGGAAGTCCTTTCTCTCCATTTCAAGTCTTTGTGCTAAGCTAAGCTCACCAGCTGCTGCCTCTGGCTGCAGATTCCTGTTTATAAGGGCCAGGTGTTAATCTTACCTGATTCTCCATCAGTAAGTGAACAAGCGTATTTCTCAGAATGTTGAACTTCAACTTCCTGAGTATGCTGCTGGGTTTAGTTCATCAATGTAAACTAAACTCAGTGATACTAATACAGGCCAAACATTAACAGTGGGAAAGTGTTAGCAGGATACACATTTAATTTGTTTGTAGTCAAGGAATGGACAGTGTACCTGGTAACATTATGGATCTTAGAGGGGGAGGTGGCGGAGGAGTAGGGGTTGGCTTCAATAAGGACTGTACATTGTGGGGGCGACTGTGGTTCAGTAGGCAGAGCACTTGTCTCCCAACCAGAGGGTTGTAGGTTCGGATCAAGGTACCTGCAGTCCACATATTGAAGTGTCCTTGGGCAAGACACTGAAACCCCAAGTTGCCCCTGATGGTTAGAGCCATCGGTGTGACTTGGCACCACAGATGGCTGCCTCGGTTCTGTACCGGAAACAAATTCCTTGTGTGTGTAACATACTTTGCCAAATAAAGGTTATTATCCTATTAACATCAACACTGCTGGCAAATGTCAGTTCAAGACTACATATAGGGCAACACTGAAAACAAAAAACAAGAGGAGGCAGCTCTCTAGCAGCAATACAGCAGATCCCTCATTCAAATTTCCCCAACTATCACGTACCATGAATGGCTCTTGTACAAGTCGCCCATTACCTATAACACAGCCAAGCAGACACCTCTGAAACACTGGGCTCTCAATGTAGCAGCAATATGAATGTACCCTATCCATCTGTTACCAGTTAGGGATGCCAAATTGAACAGCACAGACCAGTATACAGCTAATCTTTGTCTTCTGTTATTAGCAGTGTGATTAACTTGCTACACACTGCACACCAACAGGTGTCACTTATTCCCCCCTAATCACTGTTGGTGCAGTAAACCACAAGTCTGACCCAACAACCACCAGGACTGTACATTGTGGAGTTTGGATGTGCTATCTGCTGGCTCACACGAGCTCCAAAGATTTTTACTTTTATGTTAACACTTTTATTGGCAATAATTTTCAGCAGCTTTGGCCTGATTTCTGTCACCGGGTTTTTTGGGTCCAAATAACAATGAGTTTTGTGTAGTTTTGGGGCATACATGTAAAATGACATTTATAGTAAAGTTAGTAATTAGGAAATATTAAACATTGACACAGGGAAAAAGGGTTACTTGTGTTGCTTAACTGTGCCCACGGGCATGTTCTAGCTAAAGCAATCAAACAACAAATTACATTTAGGTCAATGTTCTATTGAGGTTAGGGCTTTGTGACGGCTACTCCAATACCTTGACTTTGTTGTCCTTAACCCATTTGGTCATAACTTTGAAAGTCTGCTTGGGGTCATTGTCCGCTTGGAAGACCGATCTGTAACCAGGCTGTAACTTCCTGGCTGCCTGATGTCTTGAGCTGTTGCTTCCATATATCCACACATGATGCTGTGCTTCATGGTTGGGATGGTGTTCCTCAGTTTGCAAGCCTCCTCATTTTTCCTCCAGACATAATGATGGTCATTATGGCCAAACAGTTAAATTTTTGTTTCATCAGCCCAGAGGACAGTTCTGCAGAAAGTAAGATCTTTGTCTCCATGTGCAGCTACAAACTATAGTCTGCGCTTTTTATGGTGGCCTTGGAGTAGTGGCTTCTTCCTTGCTGAGCAGCCTTTCAGGTTATGTCAAAATTGGACTTGTTTTACTGTGGATATAGATACTTTGACACTGTGTAATGTTCAGACCAAAGTACATTCATCTCTAGGAGTCAGAGCGCATCTCCTTCCTGAGTGGTATGATGGCTGCGTTGTCCCATGGTGTTTATACTTGTGTAGAATTGTTTGTACAGATGAACATGGCACCTTCAGGCATTTGGAAATCGCTCCTAAGAATGAATATAGGCCTTACAAACGTCCACAGCTGCACCTCCTATTGACCCAAATTATGTCAATTAGCCAATCAGAAACTTCTAAAGCATGACTTTGTTTTGTGGAATTTTATCTAGCTGTTTAAAGGCACGGTCAACTGAGTGTATTTAAACGTCTGACCCACTGGAATTATGGTTTAGTGAATTATAAGTGAAATCTATCTGTGAACAACTGGTGGAAAAAGTATTTGTCATGGATAAAGTACACATCCTAACTGACCTGCCAAGATGAGAGTTTAACATGACATCCGTGGAGTGGTTTAAAAAAATCATTTTTATTGACTTCAACCCAAGTGTATGCAAATTTCTGACTTCAACTGTACTTGTGATATTTGTGTTTTTTCTTCAGGATAATATACTGTCCAAGCATGTGCTGTCAGAGTTGGGGGTTCACCTGGGGCTGTGTGATGTTGAATCTCCAGAAACACATCAGCTGGTGCACGACTACCTCAATTTCATTCAGACAGTGAAGGAGGAACAGACAAGCAGAACAGCAGAAGGTCACTGCTGGGCAAATGTAAGCCAACAACACAACAGGTCATGGTTACGTACTGGTTAGAAAAGGGAGTTTTTGATGGGGTGGTTACTGGAATGTGTTGAATGGAATACCTTTGTGAGAAAAACGGATTCAATAACAAGCTTCACTTCCACAACAGGTCTTTCGGTTACTTGTGAACTGTGTGTGTATGGGTAGTAACACAACAAATGTTTTCATCTGTTATACACTTTTTTTGCTGACATTTCAATATTTTGCTACATTAATTGTGGTCAAAGCAGTTGACTCACTGTAGATAAGTGCTAGTTTAGTTGCTACTGTAGAAATGTTATTGAATATCAAATGTTATTACAAAAGTTTCCTGTATTGACTGTACAGATGTTGCATGGCACAAGACCATACTCTACTCTGCGTAGACTTCTTTTGATCCTCCTGGCCCTCCCAAGCTCTCTGTGCAGGACTCGGGTCTTTGCTAAGGTGAGTGGTAAAAGCTAAAACTATTAAAGAACATGACCGGTTGGTTTACTGACCACATCAGATTAGGGCACAATCATTGTGTTAAACCACAATGAGGTTACTAAGCCGATATGTGTAAGGCTGAAATCACACACATGCTGTTGGAAATGTAAAACGTTGCAAGCATGAGGTGCCAACTGCATAGGAGGCTGACGCTGTGGGGAAGAGTTGTCAAACATCTGTGATTTGGAAATGTATTGCTTCTGGATAAACAGCAGAGTGATATTTGATTTGATTTGATTTATTCTTTCAAGCATGTAAAAACTGTTGATATGACAACACATAATTTTACACATAATCCAATATCAATTTGCTTATACCTAGTACATGCTTGAATGGAGTAGGAAGAAGTCAGACTTATCCAGTCCTACCCCATGACATCATCTTACCATCATTGGTTTGCAAGCAGTAAATGATTCACTTCTACACCACACAAGTATTATACTAAAAAAAGATT